GGGAGCCCGATGTGGGACTCGATCCCGGGACTCCAGGATCATGACCTGAGCCGAAGGCAGTTGCTTAACCAACTGAGCCACCCAGGCGCCCCAAGTAATTTTTAAAAATATTAATGCCTTCCAACATAGTTTAAGGGAGTATCTTTAACTCCAACATTCTGCTTTGATGTCTCTGTTTATTAGTTTAAAACACTAGCATTTTATTTTCCCTGCATGAGTTATAAATCACTTAAAGATACTTTCAATATCAACTTCAAAAGGAAAGCTTAGTCACTTTTTCCTTAATTCTAGTATTTAGTCATCTTTTTTGCAGTAAAAGCATGTTCTACTAGTATTTGATACTTTCATCAAAAGCAAAACCAAACATTCTCAGAATTGTAATAGTTAAAAACCAAGTTTAAAAATACAGTATATATTGAGGCGCCTGGGTGGCTCAGTCACTTGGGCATCTGACTCTTGGTTTCAGCTCGGGTCGTGATCTCATGGGTTGGGGGACTGAGCCCCTCAACAGCCTCCGCACTCAGCGGGGAGTGTGCTTAAGGATTCTCTCTCTGCCCCACCCCCCACTCAAATAATTAAATAAATAAATTTTTAAAAAATACAGTATAGATTACACAAGCAATCAGATTCGAACAAAACACTAAAGCTGCATATAAGATGAAACAATAATTTGATTTTTTTATTACACTTCCAAAGGTTTCCACATTCCATAGCAATCTGTTGCTATTCCCTGAACTGTTAGGACAAGAGTAATTCCTCAGTTAATATTTTAGAAAACAATCCAGACAAAGAGATCAAGATTACAAAAGCACATATCAAAAATACAGACACCAGAGGTGCTTGGCTGGCTTGGTCAGTAGAGCATGTGACTCTTGATCTCAGGAAGTATGAGGCCCATGTTGGGTGTAGAGATTGCTTAAAAATAAAATCTTTAAAAAAAAAAAATACAGACACTAGAAATATTTTAGAACAGTAAGTAAAGCTTTATACCTCTTGGAATCAAAGATTTTGTTTGAAAACTAAAAGACTTGAGGTCACAAGTAGTATTTTTCACTCAGTATTTTGAACTACTTTAACTTGAGAAAACACCAAATACATATTTTTCTACATAGTTAGGCCAAGCATAAAAACCAAATCAGTTTGAAAAGTTAACTTAGTGTACATAGATAAACAGAGATAGTGGGGAGGGGGGTAATCACTATTATCATCTTTACCACTGTCTCAGAACACAAGGTAGTGAGATTTCAGGTGAATTTTCTTTTTTCTTGTATGTTCTTCCCTCATATCTATCTGTTCTACTCTTCTTGCATAGTAATAATTTTTTTATTGTTACGGAGGTTACATGGCAGTCCTGATTAAAGAATGTATTTTTAACCCTCACAAACAGCTATAACAGTAAGGTTACATGACTAAGTTCAGGCCAATGAGATATTGGCAAGAATATCATATGCAACTTCTGGAAAATATCCATAGAGGGTAGGAAGGGATTGCCTTCCTCACTCCTTTCTCCCTTGTGTTGGTTAAAATATGGGTGTGAGGGCTGAAGAGTGAGTAGCATCTTGGACCATGAAGGAGAAGTCTTATGTTAAAATGGCTCAGCCACAAGACAGAGCCAGAGTCCCTGAAGACATGGAGCTACCATATACCATAGACTGCCTACTCTTATGTGAAAGAGAAATAAACTTCTATCTTGTTTAAGTCACTGTTAGTTTGGGTTTTCTGCCAATATAGCCAAACTGATTGTAACTAATACAAAACCAAAATAAAGAACTTTCTTATCAAAACAAAAAGCCACTTCCTTCCATATTGTCAATTAAGAGCTCCCATCCCTGAAAACAGATTTAAAATCTTTGTGCACACTTTGTTGAGGCACTCCCAAGCCAAGGATGGGAATAAAATTAAGCTATAGGATTTTCCGGTCAAATCATCCCGGACTTATAGCCAGTGAAATAAAACCTCCATGCTTGGCAAAGGACTTTAAGCAACTTACTTCTTTTCGAAAACAAACCCTCCTCTTAGACCCTAGATCTGGACTCTTAAATGGAAGTGGCAGCCCAACTCTAGGAGGGCAGTTAGTTACTGAGTAAACAGTTTTGTTCAATGAAGGAATAAAACAACATTCTGTGATAGTATACCATTAAATATTCACCTCTGCAGTCTTAACAAAGTCTCAAATACTTACTATGCCTTTAAAACTATCATGTAGTTGATCTTCAGCAAAAATATGGAACTGAAGAGGTCTGATGCTGAAAATGATAGCTGACTTCAACATGGTTACAGTTTCTTCCAGTCTTTCACCACAGGCAACCACAGCGAGGTGCATTCTCTGAATGGGCTGCACATTCAGACTATACCTAATAGAAAAGAAAACCACATTTTCCAACAGTTTTAGTACAGGGTAACATGTTAACAATACGGTATTTTGACCATGTTCAAAAACTGAAGTTCAAAATTTCTACTTAAAAAGCAAAGAAATATCAAATTACACAATAGTACAATATTGAGTCAATTATATATTTCTGTATCCTCAACCAGCCTTTCTCAGCCAACGTTCCTCACTAGGAACCAAAAAAAAAATTACTACTGTCTCAATTCTCCCAAGAATAGCACATAAGTAGCACCATTCTACACAGGAGAAAAGTTATTTAATTACTCAGACTAGATGCATTAGGGCTTAATTCTCTCAAGGAACCCCCCAAATGACAAAAGGAGCATCAGTGATTGAAGGTCTTCCATTCAATTATTTTTTAGTTTTATTTAAAAAAAATCTCAAAAACATATGAAGTAGAGAGAATAGAATAAATCCCCATGTACCCATCTCCTAACTGTTATAAACATCCATTTAATGGTATTCTTTCTTCATCTAAATCCCTCTCCACATCCCTTTCACTAACCAACAGATCATTCTGAAGCAAACCCAGACATAAATTCACCCATAAATATTTCAGTATTACACCCAATCTTCAACCATACTAATTATAGGAAAAAGTTTCCTTCACATAACTTTTTTCACCTATAAACATTCAGTTCTATCCACCAAGTAATCAGTGAGAGGTAAAAATTTCTGAGGTGGTCTAAAACATACTAATTACACATCAGTATGGATTTTGAAAGGAAAGATTCCCTAAACGCAAGTTATTGGCTTAGGCTATGTCAGACCCTACTTTTTTTTTTTTTTTAAGATTTTATTTATTTATTCATGAGAGATAGAGAGAGAGAGAGAGAGGCAGAGGCAGAGGGAGAAGCAGGCTCCCCGCAGAGCAGGGAGCCCGATGCGGGACTCGATCCCAGGGCCCTGGGATCATGACCTGAGCTGAAGGCAGACGCTTAACCGACTGAGCCACCCAGGCGTCCCTGTCAGACCCTACTTCTAATAGAGAGCAGCAGTGCACAACACCGGGCCTAAGGACCCTTTCAAAACCCTTGCATCTTAATAGTGAACTAATTCACTAGCATATAAAGAACAGAATTATTTATGTGTGACTACACTGTTATTAAATAAAATAACCTATTTGTAATATTAAATTCAGATTTCACCTGTAATTATGGCATAAAATAATCATTTTGGAACTGACAGCTAAAAGAACAGAAGAATGGAAGACAACATAAAACAAAACTAGTAACACATTAAGGTATTATAAAGTACAAACATTCTAAACTAAAAACATAAAATCTGACTTTAATTCAGTTCTTGCTTACAGAGATCCTTTCCGTAAAATGTATAAGGGTTAGAAATTACATTATTTAACATTAACAGTTGTATGTATACATTACTGAGATTTGCAATAGCGGGAATGAGTGATTAATCATTTTTCTTAAATTTGAAAGTTAAAATCAACTGTAGTTATATTCCTTAACATAGGACTTTGTAATCTTGAGTATTCACATGTACATGTGTCAAGGTGAAACAGAACTATTTTCTGAGGAAAATCTTGTTCTTGCTCATGGGTCATCCCTCAACTGACCAGGAGATGAGAAAACAAAATCATACTGAGGAATAACATTAAATACAAACAAATGACTATATAAAACATACCTGAATGCCAAATTCATACATTTCAATGTTTTAACATTAAACAAGTGTAATTATTTTATATTAATAGGATAAAAAAAATCATGCTCCCGCTTTTATTGTGGATCTATCCCTTCCTATTAATAAGTCTGTTTTGCTAAGAGCCTGGAGATAAAGTATTAAGATAGCTGTTTGAAACTGATGCTTTTCTGGTCTGACCGAGCTCCTAAGGCCTGAAAACGGGTTCACTTCTCTTACAAGGGACATTTCTCACTTATGTGAGTACTGGTAATGGTCGGCCTTCAGCAGGGGAGCTGAAAAGCTCTTGACCCCAAATACTTACCGTCTAGAAAACACATGGGTCATTTCCTCCCTGATCCTTCTACTGGAAGGATAAAACTTAAACTCAATACCCTGGTAACTAACCCTTTGTTCAGGCTAAAGGGCCAAAGCTTCTATAAACGAGGTTATTTAAAACAATTGAACTGTTTTTAAGAAACCTTCCCCAGACGATTCATAAAGTTACATATTATTACACCACTCTGTTAATGGTATTAAATGAAGAAGTCACATATAAAGTGGTATTCTTGCAAGAAGCATTATTTACTATATCAGAAACGGTGGTGATATTTCATTCTTCATTAAGGTTAAGATTACCACTAAGGTACAATACTTTGTTTTTAAAATTTATATTAATCTGCCAGGAATTAAATTTTATGAATAGTCTGAAGTAGGGAACAATTGCCTAATTTTGCACATGTCTATCCAACTGTGCAAACATCATTTGTTTCAGAATTACCACAGTTTATCCATTCCCCACCCACCTGCTGTGCCACTTCCTTCACATAGATGGTGTTAGCAATCTGGTGTTAGCAATAGCCTGTCTTTTTAAAGCTCTGTTCTTTTCCATTGACAGCAATTAGAAAGAAGTAGTACCTCCTCCCTTGGCAGCACCCTCTGTTTCCCTCTTTTCTGTTAAGTCCCTCAGTTTATAACACTGAAACCCTATGTGAGGGGAGACTATCTACGCCCTCTGTACCTAGAGCAAGGTAATGTATACCCGGTTCATCTCAAAGCAGTGGAAGCCACAGTGATAAAAGTTAAAGAAAGACAAGGCAATCAAGACACACAACAATTTCACAAAGCTCTAAATTACTCATCTTTCAGGTAAGTGCCTCCACACCAAGACTTTAAAATTGGCAATGGGCTTGGATTGCTTAACTGATCATAACTAGATCCTGCCTCGAAGCTAAAGCCCAGAGATTTAAAAAGTAAGCTACAATAGTCATGTGCTGTTTTGCACAGAATTCTCCACACAAAGACAAGTATAATAAAACCTTCTTAAGAAAATAAGTGAAATGTTCTTCCGGGTTAAAAAAAAAAAAGAAAAAAATCCCTCTAAAATCAGTACCAGATCTGACTCCTCCCAAGCATTTTAGCAAGACTTGTTTTAGTCACACTGCCAGCACTCCTTCCACCAATTTCTATGGAAGGAGTATTGTCAACTACCTTTTGGTTATATGTCCCTTTTTAGAAAAACATTATATACAGTACAGACTCTTAACACCATAAACCGTATTTTAAAGATGTCACTGCTTACCACCCTGTCCCTAGACCCCAAGAACAGGAAATAATTGCAACCTAAAAAATTCTAAAGTAATCTTCCACCACTAGAGGAAGGAATAACTAAAACCTTCTAATAAGATATAGGGAAGCAGCCATTCAAGTAATTTTGATGCCAAAATGATATAAATCTTGAATGATATAATCTGGTCTGTAAAAATGTGCTATATTTTAATCACAGCGTGAATAAGAGGAAAGTCCCTATGGATTTAAAGAAATATTATCCAAAAGGTCATTTTTAAGTCAAACCTATTTTTCTACAGATGTATGATTAGAAGAAATTCTACAGATAATTCAAAGATAATACCTGAGTGCTTCCATGGCTAAATATGGCATAACCTGAGCATCAACAGGAATTACGACAGTAATGAATGATAACACATAAAAGAAAATGAATCCGTAGGTCTAAAAAGATACTAAATAAAGGGGCTAGGGGGAAGGGGGAAACCCTTCTTTAAACACAAATATCAGCCAATAATGTAGAAGGAAATTCAGAATTACAAAAATCACTACTTTGCAATCACCACTGTAACCGATGATTTGAACAAGAATAATGATTGCTACAACCACAGAGTATCAAGGTGTTATCCCCACACATTACAAAGGGGATAAAGGTACTGTTAACATGTAGAAATGTGACACCACCACCTTAACCACATGATCAAAGTTAACAAATGTTAAACTTATGACAGAGGCTTCCTGAGAGCATGCCCAAAGAAGAGCACAGTATCACCTATGCAGTATTCCTGCCCCAAATCCAGAATCTAATAATGGAAAGACAGGCAAATCCAAATAAAGGAACATTCTGCAAAAACAAAACAAAAATATCATGTCATGAAAAATACCACGACCACCCCCCCCAAAAAAGTCTGGGGAACTGTTCTACAAGGAAGGAGACTATAAATAGATCTCACAGCTGAATGCGGGGGGGGGGGTAAGTAAAGTTCATTAAAAGAAAAATAAGGAAATATGAATATATATTCTGCCAGTGTTAAATAACTGGAAGTGACAGTTTTATTATGATTATATTGGGGAATGCTTCTGTTATGAGGTGATACATGCTGAATATTTAGGTGTATATCATAACGAATGCACCTATCTCTCAGATGATTCAGCCAAAAACAGAAAGTGGCAAAATGTTAATAATAGGTCAATACCTAGTGAACAGTAGGTAGTGAGTGTGCTCACTGTACTATTCTTGTAACCTCTGCAGATTTGAAACTTACCAAAGCAAAAAGTTCAGAGGGGAAATCAGAAAAAAAAAGTTAATACTTAAAGTATTTTAGATGATAAATTCTAATACAAACACTGTTAACAGATTTCTAAAATTTAGGAATAGATTTATTTTAAATAACATTTCTGCTATGAAGGAATCATAATAATGTGTCTTTTTTTATTTAGACAGCACAAAAAGCTTTCAGGGTGTTCTTTCAGCCTAGTGTTCTCTCTATAAAAGAAAACAATGTTTAATAATATTTAGGCCAAGAATTAGCATTATAAATGAAGTATGCAAAGTTAAGCCAAATTAAATTTCTGGTAACAATCACCTCAACTAAAAAGTAACTGCTATGAACCATCTTTAAAAACTTGCAGTTAAACAAAATGGAAAACTATGTTCAGAAACATTAATGGCAATTTCCTTAATGTATAGCTTAAAAACAAAATATTTTACCTCTTACTATAAAAAAAAGTGTTGAATTATCATACTAGGTAAAAAACTACTTTGAAGAGTTGTATAGGGGCTCCTGGGTGGCTCAGTCGGTTGAGCAACTGCCTTCAGCTCGGGGCATGATCCCAGGGTCCTGGGATTGAGCCCCACATCGGGCTCCCTGCTCAGGGGGAGCCTGCTTCTCCCTCTCCCTGCCGCTCCCCCTGCTTGTACTCTCTCTCTGTCAAATGAATGAATCCTAAAAAATAAAAAAAATAAAATAAAAAAATAAAGAGTTGTATATATATCACTTTTGAAACAAAATATAACACTTGAAAAAATCTTCAGGTTCCCATCATAAAGATTAAATACTTTAAAAGCTCAAGTCACAAAAAAATTAGTACACTAAAAGAGAATTTTTAAATACTACTAAAATTAGTAGTAGTAGTAGGCACCTGGCTGGTTCAGTAGGCAGAACATACAACTCTTGATCTTGGGGTTATGAGCTCAAGCCCCATGTTGGGCCTAGAGCTTACTTAAAAAAAGAGAGAGAGAGATTGCTTAATGAAATAACTAAAACAAAAAATTGAAACCAGGAAGATATTTGTAATCAATGGCAAAAACAGAATATATTATCCTAAGAGATCATAAAATAAGCATTAAAAAACTTAAGAGGTAAACATCAATACAGAAAATATATAGAACAAAAGAAGCTCAACAATTATGGAAATACATTCAGCAAATAATCAACAAAATATAAATCAGTAATACTCTATCATTTTACTCTAATAAATGCTAAAATTATAACTCCCAATAATGCTAAGGTCATGGTGACACCTATACATTCACACAACGCTAGTGCAGACTTAAATCCATATAATTTTTAATAAGAAGAATAATAAGAACACAATTTAGTAATATAATTCATTCTCTTTAATGAATATTTGAACTTCTTTCATATGCTAGACACGGGATAAGCAAGAAAGCCACAATCCTGACCTCATACAATTTACAGTCGATTGCAAAAGACAGAATTTCAAAAGATTTAATGGGAAAGCATGGTAACTGCTTAAATAGAAAAAAAAAAAAAGATTGTTAAGGAAGCTCACTATACATACATCAAAAATAGTCTGAAAGTGCCGGGGAAAATCATTAGCTATTTACTGGTTGCCAAGCACCTTGCTTGGCATGGGGCTTGAATGATGAACAACACATGGTATCTCTCTGCAAAGCCAACAGTCTGGAAGATTCACAACCACAAGAGATGTGTGAATACAGTGACATAGAGGATACTGAGAAGGGAGAAGCAGTGGGTAGGGAAGGAAAATCGTTGGATAAGAAGTGATGAGCATAATAACTAAGGGAATAGGAAGAAGAGGCTATCAGGAGCAACAATGTGAGAGAAGCTGGGTAGAAGAGTCACTGTGGACTGACATGAAGAAAGTCAATCATAAACCAGGATACAAAACACACATGAGGGAAGGTGTGAGAAGCCAGATCAGATTTAACCATGAACTCAGGTTTAAACAAGAGAGTCTGAGGCATCTCAATCAGCAAGTTAAAAAAATGACCAAAATGTAGATGGAAACACAGTTCTTGAGCTCAGAAAAGAGCTCTGGAGTAGAGGTATCAGTTAAAAAGATTATCTGGGGTACATGGGTGGTTCAGTCAGTTAAATGGCTGCCTTTGGCTCAGGTCATGATCCCAGGGTCCTGGGACTGAGTCCTGTGTCGGGCTCCCTGCTGGGCGGGAAGCCTGCTTCTCCCTCTCCCGCTCCTGCTCCCCCTGCTTGTGCCCACTGTCTCCCCCTCTCTCAAATAAGTAAAATCTTTAAATAAATAAATAAAAGCTTATCTTGTGATTATCCAGGGAGTGGGGAGAGAAGAGAGCAGGGTCCTAAGGAACATTAATATGAAAGAGTCAGGACAAGGAGAGGAGTCCAGAAGCAGAGAGGTCAAGTAGCTGAGACCCTGGTCTTAAGAGCCAGAGACTGACAGAGCCGAAAGAAAGAGGAAGTGGTAACCAGTGTCAAAGGGACCCAAAAAAGTAAGACTGGGCCCCAGAAGAACAATTCAGAGGTCAAAGGTGACTTCACAGTAGGGTACGGGGGTTAGTCAGATAACCAGTGCTGCTCAGACAGGTTGAGGCGGGGAGCTCTTTTGTTGTTGTTAAAGGGTGTGAAGTAAGTATATACTCTTTTTTTTTTTT